AGTAGATCGTTCAGAGGAGCTCTAAATTAATCATATTATGGACATATTTGATAGTAATTAGGCAGTCCTAGAAAAACTTGTAAGATAGTCACATTTGTTGGTGGATGCATATTCTGAATTTCACTTGCCCTTGATGGATCTGGTTGATGACCATTTTTATCAATAATTTGACCAAAGATTTTGGCAAAAACAATTCTCATTTTTCTTCACTGAGCTTGAATCCATACTCTCTTTTCAAAAATTGTTTTCACATGCCCAACATGTTGTACCTTATATACACTTTTGATTAAATGCCATTCAGATATGCCACTGCGAAATCGCAGTCCGCAAGCATGGTATTCATAGCTTTCTGAAAAATAGCTGGTTCCAGTCAGTTAAACTTATATAATTTTCTGTGCATATTTGTGGTCGTTAATTCTGAACATTCATTTTCAGTTTGAATTTATAAATATGCTTCAGAGAGATCCAGCTTTGAAAACATTTTTCTGCTGTTTAACTTTGAAAAATTTCCTCTGGACATGGTAATGTGTAGTTACGTGTTTCTAAACAACTGTTAAATCCTGTCAAGAAATCTGTGCAAATATGAATTTTATTATTTCTCTTCACAATGCTCAGAAAAAAGAATCTGATGATCATTTTCATGTTATGATGAGAATAGACATTTATAAGATCATTTTTGTTTGTTGATTTTCAGTGGAAAACAGTTCTAAGCTAATGTCAGTGCAGTGTAGCATTATATCTATGAAATGTAAAATATTGTTTGCTTCCATTTTGTATGTAAATTCTACTCTATGTCCGACTTTTAAGTAAATCAGTACCCCATGGAGATATTAATATACCATTGTCAATATATCAGAACATAGGCTGAGGTAAAATATTGGAAAGGATCAGATTCGAGAAAATTCTAAAAAAATACATGCCATCACTTCACTTAGGGGCGATTCCCTTGTTAATTCAAATTTTTGTTTATAAAAATTATTATTAAATGTGAAATAGCATTGATTGGTGATGAGATGGCAGATTTTCATTATTTTAGCTATTGATAGGGAGAGGTTTATCTTTTAATGTATTAGATGCTATTTTAAAAGGATTTAAGTGTTTATTAACCTAGACATTGGTGTGAAGGAATTTTATATCTTGATTAGCTATGAGTTTGTCAGTCATATTTTTTTCCCTTAGTTTTTCATATACTGATTGTTTCAATGTGGGGAGTGCTATATATATATATATATATATATATGATAATGAGAAAACAAAGACTTTAATCATCCATTTTGTTTATAATTGTTATTTATTGAACACTGAGATGTTCAACTCATCAGAACAAAATCTTCTCTGCAAATGGATTAAATTAAAGTCTCGATCTTCTTCTTATTATTATAATGCTCTGTAGTCTACATTGAGCTCTCCCTGGATTTATATCCTTCTCAGAATTATCACTTCCAGTCACAAACTGGCAAAACGTATAATTATATATATATATATATATATATATATATATAAAGCAAATATATGGATATAGATCCGACAGTATGAAGAATAATATACTGAAAAAACAAACAAAAATCCTAATATGCGATTATGCTGTTTTAATGTTTAATATCAACGTCGGACGTTTCAGTCTAATAGATCATCTTCAGGACATATTCATAAAACATTATTAACATAGACCATATACAATTCAACTTGAAAAAGATGTCTTTTTCATGTTGAACTGTATATGGTCTATGTATATATATATATATATATATATATATATATATATATATATATATATATATTAAGTAATTCATCGAGTCTAGAAGAAACCTCAACAGAATGCAGAAAGCACTGGACGGCCATTTTTGTCCTATATTTGGGACTCATCAGCAGTGCACATCCACTACCAAGAATTGAAACTCGGACAGCTACATTGACAGGCAAACATTATACCAACTGTACTAACGGGCCTCGGTGATGAAGAGGTAGCAAACTAGACTCGATATTGTGCTGCTCATTCACATATTCTGTGGTGTAAATCACTTTGGAAGAAAAGGAATTTGTTGGCTGCTGCTAATTAATGCTAAAAGCTCTTCACTATGAATTGAGCACTCTGGTAGCTGGTAATCTCGTATATAATGCATTAAAAATTCTTTTTTTCCACTGCATGCACTGATAGTCAAATTGGTCGTGTTTTGATCCTGGCTTGCATATCTAGCCTTATTGATGACCTGTGATACAGTGAAAATCTGTCTGTGGTTGACTCTTATATATATCTATATATATATATATATAGAGAGAGAGAGTCATCCACAAAAATATTTATATATATATATATATATATATATATATATATATATATATAATTGGACTCTCCCATCGTATTTGAGATATGTTGGTCAAGCAGCTCAGTTGCTAGCAACTGACAGTCCAGACACCAGCACATATAATTTGATCATAGTGGTGAAGACTTTGTACAGAATCAATGGCACTTTTTAAAGTGCCGAATACAGGGACATGATGCACTACATGCCACTAGGTGCCCAAACAAACCTCCACAGATTTTGAATTCAGAGTTTTCCTTCTCCTAGACCAGTTGCCATTCAAGGCTATAGAACTCGGTCTGTCCTGCTATTTACCCAAAGCTGGAGGGAGAAGAAGAAAACTTAAGAAACTGCAGATATTTTTATATATAGTGCTCAATATTAGAAAATATTAAAATAATATAAAAAAAGTCCAGGTTTCAAGTAAACAAAAGATGATGATTGGAATCATATTTAAATTTTTGAAGATCATTGTTGACCAGAATGCAGGAAGCTGGAAGAGAGGTGCACAAGTAAAAAGTGTGTGAGAATAAACTATTAGCATAGATCTAGCAATTTTCACAGTAAAAGTATGAGGTCTAACTGCCAATATACCACTGCACATAAATTTGTAAAGGACAGGTGCCAAAGAGGAGAGCTCATCTATCTATCTATCTATCTATCTATCTATCTATATATATATATATATATATATATATTAATGTATATATATATATATATATATATATATATATATATATATGTGTGTGTGTGTGTGTGTGTGTGTGTGTATCTTTGGCCTTATGCCAACGAAAAATATCTATTGATCTAATTAAAGACGTAATTTTGAAAACAGTCATTATCATTCAAATAAATTTTCAACCAGTTACATTACATTCATTTGTATGTGCCTGTGTATGTGCATGTCTACTTGCATGCGTGTGTGTTATGCAAAATTTTGCTTTTCTAGCAATATTTCCAAAAATCAATGACATTCTTTGATTTTCATCCAGATGGAACCAAAACAGATTCTTAGACAAAAAAAAAAAATAATAATAATTCAATTTACACGAACATTTTTTTTTCCTCTTTTTCCATTTCCTGTAGTAGACAGCTATAAAAGCATATCGGGTGACTGCATATGCATATGTAGCTGTACACCTCAGATATTTTCTATTCTTTAAGGGTGGGCAGAAAAGTCTATAGGCTGATGATGAAAGAATGATGCTGAATCTATTAAATTTTGCACAGATTAATTTCAACACTTCTTATTAATAACTGCATTGTTTCTTTCCAGGTACGAGGGTGGGCTGAAAAGTTCATAGGCTGACTATGAAGGAGTCATGCTTGAGCTGTGAAATCTTGCATGTATTAATTTCAACTCTTCTTATTAATAACTGCATTGTTTTTTCTCAGATAAACTGACACCTGATTGTTCAAAGAAGACTTCCAATGTAACTAGTAGTGATTTTTCTTGAAATGGCCAAAATTTATTCAAATATCTGCAGAAAAAGGCTTTCACCCCCAAGGGCATTCATGCTAGAATAATTGGTATATTAGGGGATAATGCTCCAGCTTTATCAATAGTGCACAAGTGGGCAGCTGAATTTAATATTGGAAGGGAGGGTTTTGAAAATGACCCAAAGTCTTGAAGTCCTGCAACTCGTACCACTGAGGAAGACATTGATTGTATTTATTGCATGGTGACAGATGACAGGCGATTCACTATAAATCAAACAGCCAGTGCTATTATCATATCCTATGAGAGAATTGAAAATATTCTGCACAATGAACTTGGCATGACAAAGGTTTCTTTTGACACCTGACTCAGCTAATCACAAAAAGCTGTCACTGTTTAAGGCAGATCTACCTGGTTTTCTTGAATATTTCATAAGCCAAGATAAGTGTTGGGTTAATCACTTTGAGCCAAAGACAAAGAGACAATGTGGAAACACCCCTCCTAACCTGACCCCCAAAAAGGTCATGGTTGTTTCATCTACAAGGAAGGTGATGGTCTTATTTTTCTTTGATGCAAAGGCATTGTTTTTATTGACTCCCAGATCTGGACAAGTTACAGAAAGGCTTGTATCTGGATATGCCAAACATTTTCATCTGTACTTAATCTGGGTGGTAAAACATTCTATCTATCATTAAGAATGAGTTATCACTAACAATGACTAATGCATCATTAATAATAACCAATGAACATTAAACCCTGGATTATTAACAATGATCTATCATTGGCAATGACCTATTCTTTAACAGCAACTTATCATTGATAATATTGCTATCCAGTGAATATAGAAACATATCCTGTCATTTAAAAATATCTGTTATTACCAATAACCATTGAATCATTAACAGTGACTTATTGGCAATGTCCTCTTTTTTAGCAGTGACTTATCATTGATGATGATATATCCTCTCATTTAAAATTATCTATCATTACCAGTAACGATTCTATAATTAATAATGACATATAATTGGCAATGATTTATTTAACAATAACTTTTCATTGGTAATCAGATATCTTATCATTAAAAATAACCTGTTATTTATCAATAAGATTCAATCATTCACAATGACCTATGTTTGTCAATGATCTATTCTTTAGCAATAACTTATTGACAATGTGATATCCTATCATTAAACTTATGTATCATTACCAATATGAATTGTATCATTACCAATATGCATTGTATCATTATCAATATGCATTATATCATTACCAATATGCATTCTATCTTTAACAATATGCATTCTATCTTTACCAATATGCATTCTATTGTTACGGATGTGTGGTGTGTGTTGGAGAGGAATAGAAGGTTTGAATTATTAGAATGTTTAAAATTGTGTGTGTTCAATAATCTTCCACCCACAACAATTAATACAAGACAGAGATTAATAATGATTCATAAACATCTTGTTTCAAAATGTAACAATTGAATTTATTAAGTATTTGATATACATGCATGTGAACTGAAAAGTTAGACAGAGTTGTGTCTCCTAGACTTGGAAATATTTGTACCTAAGCTCATAAAGAAGAAGTTGATTATTAAACTGTAGAAGAATGAGTTGATGCATGTTTGGAATTGTGTATTGTACAAGTTGGTAAAAGTTCAGAAGAGATTTCAGAGTTCGTACTTGCGTGAATGTTGGTAATGGTCTTTAACGTCTGACCGCAAACGTCTGACGGGAGCTCTTGAAGATTACATCATGGCAGCAAGGAATGAGATATGAGAGAGAGAGAATCACTTGTGTTTTTGTTTATATATGATTGTGAATCACGTGACTTGCTCCGATGGAAAATGCGGGAAAACAGAATTTGTCATGTGCAGGCGATTTGATTGGTTGGAACTGATCAATAAGCGAGTTAGATTGAAGGTGATTAACCAATGAATGCTTGTCATATATTCACTTACAGGGAATAGTTTATTTATCAACACAGGGGTGACTGGCTGCTGTGGAAGATTCCACACTATCATTAACAATATACATTATATCATTAACAATATGCATTTTATCATTAACAATATGCATTAAGTCATTACAAATATGCATTCTATCATTATCAATATGCATTCTATCATTACCAATACTCTAGAATTAGAAATAACCCATCATTCACAATTTGAATCAGTATCTCATGATGAGAATCTTAACATTGTAACCACTTCACCATGCATATATTGCGTAATAAAATCTTTGCATGTCATTTCTTGAAAACATTGGATTTGTGAATAAGAAGTATGAAAATTTTAGTACCTCTTGAACTTGTCATGTTCCTGAAAAAAGAAATGTAAAAGACTGCAATAAATTAAAAAATGAACATGACTTTTCAGACATCTTTAGCATTCTTAATAGGGCTGGCATCAGTATTAAAAGAGGACTGATTTCATGTCCGTAGACACAATTATATTAATGAACTATCTGTCTTGCTTAAATGATAGAAGGTTATTAATATCTGTCTGAACTTAAAATTAGATAGTCGTTTATTCAGCTGTGCTCGATCTGGGAGTAAATCCCTGTAGTGGTGCACTCATAGTTGAACTCAGAGCATTAGCTAATTAGTTTGTGCTACAACAGACACCCAGTTTAAATCTGGAGATGATTAAATATTACATTCCTGAAGTCAAAATTCTAAACAGTCGCCATTATCTTCATTAAATTAATTTTTACTCTTAAATCTAAAATTGCAATTCTCCATGCCTTGTTCTGACATCCATTTACTCAAGCTCATTAAGTAATTTATGTATTGTTTTCCTCTGTCCATCTTGCCTTCAATCTCTCCTTTGAGTCAGATTTTCCAATCCTTCTTTCCTCATTCTCCCTATAAATTTCAATTGTTTCTTCCTGATTTTAAGTATAGATTTCCTTCTTGCTTCCATTTTTTCTTATATTTCATTGTTACTCACATGTTCAGTCCATGGTATCCTCAGAATCCCCTTGTAGAACCAAATTTCTGCTGCCTCAAGTTTCCTCTTCATCTGTGAAGAGATTGTACAGTATTTGTTGCTATATAGGAGGACTGATATTACATAACCGTTCAGTATTTTTTTCTTATTTCCTAATGAATTTTTTCTGTTTCTTAATACTTTGCTTAGTTTTTGCAAGGCTTCTTTGGCTATCCCAATGTACCTTCAGATTTTAGTGTCACACACAGTTTCATTAGAAACAAAGAAAGTGCATTAGCTAATTGGTTCGTGCTACAACAGGTAGCCAGTTTAAATCTGAACATGATCAAATTTTACATTCCTAAAATCAAAACTCTATGGTGACCATTAAATTAATTTTTACACTTAATTCTATAATCACAAAGATTTAGGATTATAGCACCTTGGCTGACTGAACATTTCCTGCTAGAAGACAGAATCTGATAGTCATTCCCTGCAAGAAGACAAAATCTGATAGTCATTCCCTGCTAGAAGACAGAATCTGATAGTCATTCCCTGCTAGAAGACAAAAAATCTGAAGATTCACTAGAATCAAAATCTGATAGTCATTCCCTGCTAGAAGACAAAATCTGATAGTCATTCCCTACTAGAAGACAAAATCTGATAGTCATTCCCTACTAGAAGACAAAATCTGATAGTCATTCCCTGCTAGAAGACAAAATCTGATAGTGATAAATGGCAATAAAAGACTGTTGATGCAGATGTACTTGCAGTGAACAGAGTGAATGTGAATAAAAAATTGAAAAAAGATAACAGGACCTTTCCTGGGAGCTAAAAAAAATATAGAATTCAGTAGCTGGTAAATTGAGTTATGATGGAATTGCGTCAAGAAAATACTAAAATTGAGATTATAAAAGTTAGAAATTCAAGGAAGTGAAGTGATTGTAGAAATCCTAACATAACTGGAATTAGTGCAGATACTGGGAAAGGTGCTGAAGAATAAAGAAACCTTGTTATCAGTCTTCAGCAATATCAGCCAGGCCTCCAATGTAAACTTAAGATTTTACTTGTTAAAAAGTTGAATAATTTAACACAGTCAACATTATGGATAAAAAATCTTGAATTTGACAGAGTACTTTTTAGAGACTTAGCAAAGCAAAATTTTAGAGACTTTGCAAAGCAAATTCATGGATTTGGGAAAAAAAAAGATCTCAGAATTGTATCGAAATCTGTGAAAAGATTAACAATCAGTTATACTTAGTTTAATTTGTAGAAAAAAGCAAATGTTGATAAGATAATGAGGGTCAAAAATCCCTGCCCTGGACCCCTTAATAAGGTTTGCACACCTCAGTCTTCAGGGTTTCAAAGGTAGTACACACCAGTCCTATCTGTTAATCTTGTTCAGATGACCAGATTTCTACTTTGAGAAGTAATAAGTTTTCTGTGAGTCTAGTTTTGCTAAGACATATCTGATAGGAGGTGCCCTTGGGTGGGAAACTAACTAGTGTTGGTATCATGCACAAAATACACTATGGACCGAATAACCCTATGTCAGCAAACTCATTCTTGCAATGATGGTAATAAATAATGAAGCAATAAACTTTCATGACAGTGTGTCCTTGAAAGAGAAAGAGTTACAGGAAGAGCCATAGTTGGGCACAGCACTTTTGGAATGAAAAAACCTAACAGGCATTATTCTGCTGCAATCAAATAAGGAAATAATCAAACTGAAATTTATTTGTGTAAAGCCTATTATGTTATTACTTCTAAAGTTTGTGCTGTGTGGCACTGCAAATATCCTGTGAAAGGTGCTCCCTGTCTGAAGTTGTATAACTTGATGGAAGGCACCCAAAAAAGAAAAATCCCTGGTTGATAGTGAAAACCGTGTGAAAGGAGATGGAAATGTTGATAATGATTGGTGGTGTTAATGTTTTCTATCAGTCAATTAATGTGGGTGACAGCGACTACCACGTAAAAGGTGCCCCATCTCTGAGGTTGCATAACTTGATGGAATACACATAAAGCAAAACCCCTGGTTGATATTGAAAACTGTGTGAAAGGAGATGATAATGTTCATAATGATTAGGGGTGTTAATATGTTTTCTATCAGTTAATTAATGTGGGTGACAGTGAATAATGTGTGAAAGATGCTCCTTCTCTGTAAGGTTGCATAACTTGATGGAGGACACCCAAAAAGCAAGACCTCTGGTTGAAAGTGAAAACCATGTGAAAGGAGATGATAAGGATAATAATGATTGGGTGTGTTAATATATTTTCTATCAGTCAATTAAGATGGGTGACAGTGAATATCCCATTTAATACAACAGATTTGCTTGTCAGATATAATAAACACTCAAGCATATAACATGGTTCTAATGAACTGTGAATGTGTCTTCATTGTCAGGAGTAGTGAAGAAACATCTTGGACAAGTATTGAACAGGTTGTTTCTTTTTAAATTTTAAAGGATGAGGCAGCCAAGGCAACTTAGGAGTCATTTCTTGATACTTAGAAATACCTTCAATCAAAGACTACCTAAGTGGATTGGTTTACCTGACCTGAATGCACTTCCAACTGGACACCACCTGCAATGTTGTAAATTGTTTTTATCCAAATCTACTATCATATTGAACACATTTGGCTGTGGTGCATGTGTCAGTTATACTTTTATCAGCCTGGATGTGCTTACAGGTATATTAGACTTCATATGTTTGTAGCTCAGTGTCACTTTGTAGACATGATGCTCTTTCAATAATTATAAATGTCTTCATGATATATCAGACAGACTTACTTGGGATGTAACAATAATCACTCAGGCATACCATCCCTCAGGCATGGGGCTATAGATCCATAAGAATATATGTATGCATTTTATGTACAAACATGTAAGTATTTGTATATTTTTATGCATCAAATACACATGCACACACACATATATATCATATAATACCTCTCTATCTTTCTATATATATATATTTAGAAAGGGGTATTGCATGATATATATATATGTGTGTGTGTATGTATTTGATGCATGCAAATATAGAAAAACATACATGTGTGTACATAAAATGCACACACATTTTTGTGGCTATACATGCTCATATATATGTATATATGCATATATATATATATATTAGTGTATTTAGGCAGCAATCCTTCTTTCATGCATATTTCATTGAAAACGACAGACAAGGTGCTTTTATTTAGTTTTTTATACACTTTCTCATGCAATCTAATAATTTTTTTCTTTTCGGATAATAAATTATATAAAAACTGTTCAAATGTTCTTTTTACACATTTAGCCATTTTCAAGGATTATATTTTAA